CTTTGGTCTCATCCTCGACAAGGACGAGAACAGTGCAGGTCAGCTTACATCCAGCTTAAGTGACGATTTGCAGAAGATACATGGCCTCGCTGGCATGGAAGCATGGTCGGTCTCACCTGCATTCCGCTTGTCATCTTGGGTGGTTTCGTTCATCTGCACATTGTCATTATTAAGGATCAGAAGAACAAAAAGGCGCATGAGCACTCCACTCACCTCGCCTGCGAAGCTGCTGGTTCCATCCGTACGGTTGCTTCTCTCACCCGTGAGGAGGATTGCCTCCATCTGTACAGCGAGTCACTGGAGGGCCCGCTCCAGGAGTCCAAGACTAGCTCGTTCTGGTCCAACATGCTCTACACGATCACACAGTTGATGTGGACTTGCGTCAACACACCACGAGGGATACTAAGTGGATCTAAACAGAAGGCGGCGCCGACGAGGTCTGGCGACTAGTGTGTTAGCTTATTCAGCTAGCCCAATTAACCAAGTGTATTAGCAATTTGTACTACGATACAAGTAAAGGCTTACCTAGCCCAATTAACCAAGAGGTTGAGATGGGGCTAGGTAGCGACAAAGGGTAGCCTTATATACTAGTCAGGCTGCGCACGGACCAGGCTTACATAAGCGACTGGTGCTACGGCGACTGCTAGTGTCTAGGGGACTTAGGCGGGGAAACGAGGGCCGGTGTGTCATACCATATGACGTTGTCGGGCCGACGGAGATAAGAAGTCCGTTGCCGATCGGACTCGGAGGTAGCCGGGAGCCGGTGTGTCATGTTGTATGACGTTGCCGGGCCGACGGAGGTAGGAAGTCCGTTGTTGATCGGAGTGCGGCTGTTTCCGAGGAAGCGTGATGCGGCGACGAGGCGGCGGCGATGCAGGCGCGTCTGATGCGCTGATACGTGCCCGTCGGTGATGCGTTTTCAAGGTGTTAGCGCTCGGCTAGGACTTGTAAACTGGCGCCTATGCGCCGACGACGTTTGGAGGGTCGTATAAACGTGAAATAAATCGGAGAAAATGGGAATAAAATAGGAGGCTGGGGCTACGCCCACGACAACAGTTGGTGTCCTTCTTCATTATCACTCTCATTTTCTGACATGGTTTGCACCTCGTCTTGACTCAGGAGTTTGGCACCTTTCAATTCTTCGTTCCAGCTCTTCGTCGCGCTCCAAATGACTGTCTTCAGTTCCATGCAGGCGGACAATGTGGTCTCGTTCGTGCCTGACATGTCCTCTGCTTAGGGTGCTGCAGCGGACATCGTCAACCTCCTGGACTCCAAGCCTAGCATTGACGCCGACAGTACGGAGGGCAGCATCCACTTCGAGAACATCCACTTTTGGTACCCCACTTGTCCCGGTGTGTGCATTCTGCGTGACCTCAACCTCACTGTCGGGTCTGGCACCTATGTGGCGCTTGTCGGCGCGTCAGGATGTGGAAAGCGTACGACCATCCAGCTTGTTGAGCAGTTCTACGACCCACTTATGGGCACCTGTCTACCTCAATGAGCAGCCCATCGAGTACCGCAAGCACATCGCTCTGGCCTCTCAGGAACCAGTGAGTCATCGTCTATTCCATTTAAAATATGACCATGCTGACTTATAGGTAGACGCTGTATGCTAGTACCATCCGCTTCAACATCCTCCTTGGTGCAACGAAGCCTGCTAAAAAAAACTCAAGGCCGTCATTACCAGATAGCTTCGACGCCGAGGTTGGTGGTAAGGGCTCCCAGCTCTCCGGTGACCATTGCGATTGCGCAGACAACTCGACCTTGGAGAAGATTGTGCAGAAAGCACTCGACAGTGCTGCCAAGGGCCAGACAACGATTGTGATTGCACATCGTTTACCAACCATCCAGAACGCAGACTGCATGTGAGTACTCCTCTACTTCAGAGCTATAAGTAGCAGGTGGTGATGGCGTGGCAACAGATACTTCATCAAGGATGGTGCAGTCCACAAATCTGGCATCCACGACAAGCTCATTGCGCTGTGTGGAGGCTACTACGAATGTGTCCAGATACAAGCACTCAACAAGAGGTAATAAAACTCTACAGGCATCTTTTCACATGTTTCCCTCTGCACGTACTATCTTACTCTCGACCGATAATGCCTCGGGCACATCCCTTTCATCTGTATATCAATCTAGTTGCCAACGTTAGTTTAGCTACTTTTGCACTTAGTCCCATGTAGGGATTTTTGGGCCAGAGCACTGCGCCATCGTTGCTATAAGACCTTTCTAAACTATAGAACGGCATGCGGCACAGTGAAGCAGGCTATGCGGTTATAGACCATGCTTTACCTGACTGTAATAAGGTAACTAACAGTTTGTAAAGGGGCTTGTAAAGGGGCTTGAAGCGTATGCGAGTTGCCAGTCTGGCCTCTTACAGAGGGGTGCGCTGAGAACTTGGCCCGCTATACTGTCATCACATCACCCGAGCCAACTCTCTCACAGCACCAACTCTCCTTTTCCCCATCAGCCGGAGTATGACGATATGAGGCTCATTGTTGAAAGAGATATCGTGCAGGCCTCCTCAAGCAGCATATCAAGTGAACGCTGACTATCTCCAAACCAAACACGCAACTGGTTGCGCTCAAGGTCAAGACGACCGTTCTGAAGGTGCTCTGTGCTCTCTCTCGCCACTGCTTGTCTGACGTTGGACTCACCCCCAGTTGCCCAGTTGTACTGCTTATGACCGAACTTGGACTGAGTCAAACCAAGCGAGACCATCGAGGTTCAAGGTGCGTTGTCTCGTTTGTGCTGTCTCCTGACTTACCAACATGGCTCGTAGTTGTCCTTCAGTTAATAAAGGGGATGCTCCTGCTTGGCGCAAAGTGCAAAGACAAGTTTCTGATGTGGACTTGCGTCAACACACCATGAGGGATACTGCATGGATCTAATCAGAAGGCGGCGCCAATGAGGTCTGGCGACTGTGCGTTAGCTTGTTCAGCTAGCCCAATAAACCAAGTAGTATTAGTGACTGTACTACGATACAAACAAAGGCTTACCTAGCCCAATAAACCAAGAGGTTGAGATGGGGCTAGGTAGCAACAAAGGGACTCCTTATATACTAGTCAGGCTGCGCACGGACCAGGCGTTACATAAGCGACTGTGCTACGGCGGTTGCTAGTATCTGGGGGACTTTGGCAGAGAAGCGAGGGCCGGTGTGTCATAGCGTATGACGTTGCCGGGCCGACGGGGATAGGATGTCCGTTGCCGATCGGACTCAGAGATAGGTGGGGCCGGCATGTCATAGCGTATGACATTTGTCGGGCCGACGGAGATCGGATGTCTGGTGGGGATTGGAGTGTGGCTCTTACCGAGGAAGCATGATGCGGCGACGAGGTGGCGGCAATACAGGCGCGTCTGATGTGCTGATGCGTACCCGTCGGTGATGCACTTTACAAGGTGTTTTGGCGCGCGGCTAGGGCTTGTAAACTGGCGCTAATGCGCCGACAACGTTTGGAGGGTCGTATAAACGTGGAATAAATCAGGGAAAATGAAAATAAAATAGGAGGCTGGGGCTATGCCCACGACAGTTTCTGATCCAGAGCATGCTTATCACACCAGAAAAGGAGACGCTGCTGCTCACAGACATCATATGCATCTTTTACCTGACTTTCTGCGAGTCAACTCAGTGGGTGCTATAGTGGAGTGGTGAGCCAGCAGAGGACACTATTCACTTGCACAAAATCTGTGTTGCCTACCTGCCGCTGAAAGGGCAAACCATGCCAATCCCAAACTTCACACAAGACCACAGCTTCGAGGGTCTGCAGATGGATGCTGAACAGCACCACAATACGCATTCATCTCTTCCACCACTGGCCAAGCCCGTCTTCCATGCTCCTCCAGTGCCCACGCCAATCGTGCCAATGCTGCGTTTTCCCTGTTCCTAGGCGGGAGCCTTGAAGTATCGATGCAGGATGGCAGGCTGGTGGTCTTAAATGGTCGGCATTTGGTCAGCATGGTGGGTGCATGTGAGTATCAGGCATGAAGGCCTGACGCTGACACGTTGTCCTCAATAGCCTGAAAGCACATGCATGGGTTGAAGGCAACGACTGGCGATGCTACTCTTCTGTTGCATCTGGTACTCACAGGTACGATGTCTCAAGTACCATTCTGCAGCGCCTTCTACTGAATCTACATGTTCAGAACCAAGTAGATGCGCTTTT